TACAACATGTTATCGAAAATTCTTCCTTTTGCACTACACACAAGTTCTCTTGTCAGTACAGGCTTTACAGAGCAGATCATGCCTAACTTACATATCTTGTGCTACAACGACAAATTAGTCATTTGAACGGTCTGAAGCTTGACCACCGCCAAGTTTAAGCCTCTTATATTTTCTGTCAGGCTTCACCTTGTCCTATACCGCGAACATGTTCATTCTCATGATTTTATATGACTTCTGCTTGTAGTCTGCACAATTTTGTTCTATAATCGTACACATACGGAAAGTTGAAAGCTGTATGCAAGTCGCGGACTGGTGTGCACGTTGGAAAATTTGCAGTAGTGCGCAAAACCTTGTTTTGCATGCGCTGCAATTGTGGAGGTAGGTGTCTGCCGCTAATTCCCAGGCGGGACAAGCGTAAGTCATTACTGATCTGATCGGTGCCTTATAGAGGTTTAGTTTAATGTTTGCGTTTAAATGCTCACTTTTGAATAGGGAGTAGATTCTAATAAATGTTCTGAAGGCCTTGGCTTCAATCATTTCTATGTGAATTATCCGCGTAATTCTCTTATCGAAGATTACACCCAGCTATTTTACATGATTGACAAAGGGGATATTCTGCCAATTCAATGTAAGATGAGTCTGAGGGGGATCTTCTTTTCTCGAACAATCAGAGTCAGAGTTACTTTACGACTCGTGGTTTACCGCCAATCACTTCATCTTGGCGTCAGGCCCCTTGAGGTTCACGACCCGAGATTTTTTTCCCCAACTGAACTCTTGCGGTAATAACGTAACATCCTCTCTGGCGAGATGAGTTTGTCTCTTATGAATTCACTTGACCAAGGCGTGTCCACCCATGCATTGCTTAGCAACGGACGCCCTATATTGTTGGATGCTCGTTGGTTGGAATGTTTACGTATTCGTCTGTCACATTGTTATCGCTACATACTTACTTCCTCTGTTATCGTTACATGGTTTGCTTTTAGTGGGGGTTGAAGTGTAATTACGGTAACATTACATTGTTATCGCTACATCCTTACTTCCTCTGTTGTCGTTACACGTTACATGGTTTGCTTTTAGTGGGGGTTGAAGTGTAATTACGGTAACATTACATTGTTATCGCTACATCCTTACTTCCTCTGTTGTCGTTACACGTTACATGGTTTGCTTTTAGTGGGGGTTGAAGTGTAATTACGGTAACATTACATTGTTATCGCTACATCCTTACTTCCTCTGTTGTCGTTACACGTTACATGGTTTGCTTTTAGTGGGGGTTGAAGTGTAATTACGGTAACATTACATTGTTATCGCTACATCCTTACTTCCTCTGTTGTCGTTACACGTTACATGGTTTGCTTTTAGTGGGGGTTGAAGTGTAATTACGGTAACATTACATTGTTATCGCTACATCCTTACTTCCTCTGTTGTCGTTACACGTTACATGGTTTGCTTTTAGTGGGGGTTGAAGTGTAATTACGGTAACATTACATTGTTATCGCTACATCCTTACTTACTCTGTTGTCGTTACATGGTTAGCTTCTAGTGGGGGTTGAAGTGTAATTACGGTAATATTACATTGTTATCGCTACATCCTTACTTACTCTGTTGTCGTTACATGGTTAGCTTCTAGTGGGGGTTGAAGTGTAATTACGGTAATATTACATTGTTATCGCTACATCCTTACTTACTCTGTTGTTGTTACATGGTTAGCTTCTAGTGGGGGTTGAAGTGTAATTACGGTAACATTCTTTAGATAGGCTATCCCAAAATCTAGCCTCTAACATTGGACCTGGTCCCTCAAAATACTCTTCCCAAAGGACGCGCGACAGGAGCTGGTGATAGTGCAAATTACCAATAATAATTCCTCAGGTTATGGACGCAAACAGGATTCCAGCCATGGTGAAACCCTGTCTCCATGAAAATCATTATGACTAAAAGTATAACGGAGGATTGTCTGGCATGGAAATCACATTACTAATAACAATGACATGGTCATCTAAAGAGTCCAAGCCTTTCATCCTCGATAGAACACAAGATGACTCTTAGATAAAATTAAACAATCTCCGGGTGAAGGTTGTACGGTTACAATTGATTATAATTCGTTATTCATTATGTGTTGAACTCAGCAGCCACTTACTGGTTACAGAGTCTGCAGGAACACAAAACAACACAAACTTAAGAACAAAAACAGGAAAACAAGAAAAAAGCTAAATTAGCCAGATCTAAATTTAAACACAAGTTTTCGGTAGTAGTGGTGGTGGCGGCGGCGGCGGGGGTTGGGGGGGGTACAGCGATGGCAGTCAAGAAGAATGTAATGTGGTATTGTTAGGCTTCGCATTGTTCAAAGGTCAGATACAAAGTAGTGGCAACACCTCTATAGTTCTGAAATGACTTTATTACCTGAGGTAAACACACTTACTCAGAAAGTCAGTAGAAAGTCCGTCGAGTGTAGCAATTTTTTAGGTCACTTCTTTATCACTTTTGCCTTACATGTTACACTTACTCAGTATAATCGCCCCCCCCCCCATGTGTACCACCACCTGCCAAATTTGTGGAAGGTGTCGTACACCATCAGTGCGTCAACTTCAGTTGATGTCCAGCAGTGACCACCGTACAGCACGAATAATCTCCTCTCTTTGTGTTGTAACATTTCCCTCGGAGTAGTTCTTTCATTTTGGCAAAGAGATCATAATCACATGGACCCATTGGCTGAGTATGGTGGATGTTGCAGTATGTCCCATCAAAATTGGTCTGGGATTGCCACCAAACCCTCATGTAAATGGCCAAACATAACAGGGTACAACTGATATGGGTGCCGGGGCATGAGGGTATTGCTGGAAATGACACAGCAGACCAATTGGCCAAGATTGGAGTTGAACATCCGTTCATAGGAGCTGAACCAGCCTGTGGCATCTCTATAGGAGTTGCCAGACAGACAGTCAGGGACTGGACAAACATGCAACACAAGAAATACTGGGGATCCTTAACTGGACTCAGGCAAGTAAAGGGACTTGTATGAGGACCTTCTACTAAGAGGGTGAAGGAACTCTTGAAGTTAAACAGGAACCAACTACGATGGGTGGTAGGACTACTTACAGGACACTGTCACCTCAAAGGACACCTGTTCAAACTGGGACTAAGTAACAGCCTTACTTGTGAGAGATGTCAAGAAGAAAACGAAACAGCCACACATATCCTGTGTGAATGTGAGGCTTTAGCTTATTTAAGACTACGTCACTTGGGTCAATATTTTATGGAACCAAGTGACTATTTTGACGCCCCCACGTACAAAATCCTGCGCTTCATTTGAAGCGCGGGACTGCTGAGGGGATAATCAATAAAGGGGAAGCACAATAGGCCAATATAGGTCGCGGTGCAAGGGCGAAAAAGGCCTACCCCTCATACATTCATTCATCTCCCATCGCCAGCGGCAATGGAGATACTTGACAGCATCAGCAGTATGAGCCCTTGCATTGTCATGAAGGATGATGGGGTTCGTTGCCAGCAAGTGTCGTCGCTTTCTCCTGAGTGATGGACGAAGATGATTACGCACGATATTGCAGTAGTAGGCTGCATTTACTCTCTGTCGTTGAGGTACAGTGTGGTGCGGTATCACTCCATCAGTGTCATATGCCACAATGAACATCGGCTTCACATTAATCTGTGTAAGGCACACTTTCTTTGGACTAGAAGAGCCAGGATGCTTCCAGTCATTTGATTGTCGCTTCAAGTGCCATTCGTATGAGTGAGCCCAAGTTTCGTCTAGAGTGACGATCCTTCCAAGGAAATCGTCACCTTCCCTCTGGTACCAGTCCAACAAGTCTTGTGCAATTGCATAACGTTGCCATTGTTGCACCTTGGACATTGTATGGGGTACCCAACGCGCTGCAATTCTGCGGTATCCAAGAATATCATGCAGAATTTGGAGCACGGTTTTGTGACATACGCCTACCTCAGCGGCTAACTCCCCCGCAGCCCATCGACGATCGACATCCAGCAAAGAAGCAAGAAGCTGAATTGTGTGGATGTCAACATGGGGTCGTCCTGAATGGCATCCCTCTCTTCATGGAACAATTTCACCCATCGTGCCACTGTGCGATATGGCAAAGCAGCATCACCACATGCTTCTCGCAGTCCTTGATAACAGTTTGTGCACTACGACCTCGTGCAACTTCAGTTTTATCCAGGAGCGTTGTTTTTGTTTCGTAAACGTGTTAGGGTGCTTGAAGCGGCCTCCGTAGTCTAGAGGTAATGTTCCCACCTCATGACTCATGGTACAGGGGTTCAAACCCGGCGGAGGTCATCGAATTTTTAAGGGCGGAAAAATTCAGGGAACAAGTCCTCTGGAAGGGACTTTAAGCCGTGGGTCCCGTGTCGTAGCTTTATGGCACGTAAAAGAACCTCATATCTCCAAAGGAGGTCACTGAGCCAAATTCAAGGACATTTCCCCCCCAACAGTAGTCTCTAACGCCTCTGATAGATGGGGGAAGCATTATAGATACTGCCAAGCCAGTAGAGGCCGAACTCGCTGGCTCGGTCAGGACTGATGGTATGCACCAATATCGGTAGGGTATAGAGACTGGTAGAATATCATAGAGGGAAGCACAGTGGACCAATACTGGTCTAAGTGCATGGGGAAACCCACCGTCTCCAATAACTAACTAACTAGGGTGCTTGAACTGGGCTCCTGCACTTCAAGACGATGCACAGTGCAACTCAGTGAAACACATCCAGAGTCATTCACTGCACTACTCAACTGAACTTATGCTATCAGCTACAGGCGGCGCTAGTGCCACCTGACGCACATCTTTCATGTTACAGCAGTGTTGCCACTACTTTTATTGGGAACCAGAATTTACGAAAAGTTTCTAAAATTGCTAGACTTTCAAAAATATAGATACACTTGTATGCCTGTCTCATAAACCCCCACTTAAGGGTTTTCCTGGACAAAGACTGTTTGAATCTTGGAGCAGATGTTATTTATGTCTTTTTTATTATTTTAGACTTACTGAAGGAAGACAGAATACCAGAATGAATCATGTGGGATCATCTGTTGGGATGTATGTTTGTGAACTATGACTGATGAATCACCATTACTCATTAGTCTGGTTAAACTCCAAGTGAGGAAGCTGAAATTAGGTGGCTTCAACCTTAGTGGGATTTCAGATGAAGAAATAATGATATCTAATTTACCATTATTATTTGCTGATGGCTATCCAACATGTTTGGAAAAGTTTACTTTGGTGAGTATATATATATTTTTTGTTCTTTGAGTATGCTTTTTCTTGTCAATAATTTTGATGGGGAGCATGCGCGAGTGTCAGTGTCTCACCCCTGACTACCCCTGACTGGCTTGCAAAATAGGTAAGTGTAAAGTAAACAAGGACTTCCACATAGAACTCATAAATCTCTAAAATTTTGCATCCTGTTGTGTTTACTAATTACAATACATGTACAATTATTTTGTTACTGTAAGTGACCTTGGCAACATCTTTGTAAATAACTAATATTTATTAAAAGCCAGCTCATGCATTGACTGTGTGGGCCATCATCAGGTGGTACATCGCTGAAAACGCTGTAGCTGAATTGCCGTTTGGGAATTTATACATGTTAAGAATTTTAATAACAGAAGCAGTGTAAATCTATTGAGAAACTGGTTCCATATATCAGTAAGATAAAAGAAAATGAGTTCAATAACAGAGGTCCTGGAGATGTACCACATGATGATTGCGGTTGTTAATAAGTGATAGTTACATTTGAAATTATGTAAGTGGTCATTTAAAGTAAGATTTCTAGCCTTACATGTCCATTGTCTTTAATGTAATTATTATGGGAGGATTTATTATATAAGTACAGATTCAGTATACTTGTATGTTGAGCTTTTCAAATACCCACATATATCAGAATTTCACAGCATCGCCTTGTTTGTAGTCTCTGATTTGTGAACAGCCTGTCATGTGTAATTTGTGTCTATGATCTATCTCCATATGCTGCATAGCTCCAGTGGTCCATTGGTTACTGTGTTGAAACCAGAGAGTAAAAAAAATTTCACATGATTGTTTTGTTATTTAACATTATAAAAAAAATTTTTTTTTTACTAAAGTTGCATATATTTCCAAGGTATCTGTTAGTTACCTGTACTTGTAATATTTATTGCTTTTACTTTGGAGATGCCCAGTATGAATCTGAGTCAGGACACTTGACTTTTCCTGAGTGAGAATTTTGTGATTTTCCTCAGTCCCCCCAGGAAAGTTTGAGAATGGTACCTTAAATAGGCCATGACTGCTTCTTTCCACATCAGTTCCAGTTATTCTCTGTCATCCAATCATTTGAAACTATGTAGTCCGAATTTCCAAGGTCTGTAATACTGTATTTCTGTGCCCTAAAGTATATGGTGCTGGTGTTACTCCCACCTCACAAGTTCACACTTCTGCCATGTTTTATTTAATGATTCTTGGAAGTTAAGAAGTTTGTGTGGTAATGGTATAATGTTCATGTCAGTTTTTGTGGACGTCATTTTCATTTCTGATTTTTCGAATGGGAAGCATGCATGGCAAGGTGAACTCGTGAGCTTTCTTTTTCCTGTAAGGAAGAGAATCAGACTAAGAATCGCGTTTATATATCGGTATTTTTCCTAGAATGAGTGTAGCATATAAATGGCTGTGCCATAATTCTTCTTTCCAATAATAAAATTATTTCTGATAAACATTGTTAAGTATTTTGGGTATACACTATGTTGAAGTGGTTCCGGTTGCCAACATTTATGAGAGATTTAATGCTTCCAAGGTTGTGAAGGAAAAGGAATGTGAGAGAATTTGTATAGAAATGTAATAAGTACTATATACATTGTGACTTGTCTGCAGTAAAGTCGGGGTCAGTCATAAATTGTGAAATATCTGAATGCTATACGAGTATGCATATAATTGTAAGGTATGGTGATTGCAAATGTCTACCCGGTCAAGTTAGACCTCAACTAATATTGCAAACTTTAGGCAGGTTCTAGATTTGTTTATAGAGGGAATTGGGGGGGGGCGGATTTTATGTTTCATTATTTTGACATTTTAATGTACTGAGAACTCTTCACTTGTAAATTCATACTCAGGGTATATTCATGCTTCTTATGTTTGAAGGCATGTTTTTTGAGGTAAACAGTGTTTCTTTGTAGTACTAAGAATATCATACTAATGGATGTTCTCTTTATACAGATTAGAAGTTAATTTAATTTCTTTTCTGTTCTCAGTTTCATTAATCATGGATTTTTTTTTCAATTCTGTTTTCAGGCACAGTTAGAAAGGTTTGTTCCATTTATGCTACAGTGCTCCTTAGGACAGAAGTACCTGGACAAATACACGTCTACACCAAAATGGTGGCCAACAGATTTGCCATTTTCAGTCTGTGTTAAGAAACCAGTGGGAATGGATGATGTAAGTGCACTTGATTCATATTGTTTTCATAATCGATTTAAACTTATACTTGTACCCCTGACTTACAACCCTGCATTTATAACCATTTTGCATGCTAGATTTAGCCAGAAACACCCCTACATTATGGCCATAGCTCATATTTTCAAAGGCATGTGACAATCCTGATGACTCAGATGTAGTCCCACCCCCTTTTGCTTTTGTTTGATAATCCTTGCTCTCCACAAAGCGTAAACTACGTAGTAGGAAAGAACTGAACTTCTGTTCTATATTTCTAAAATGTATTTTGTTTTCATGATTTATTTAATCCGTCTTGCAGTGCATACAGGACGCTAAAATATAACATTAGTATTTTATTTTATTAATTTTTGTATTGGATGTGTTTTCTTTTATTAATAAATGTCTGTAAATGCATATAATTAGCATTTTACTTTGTTTGCCTCTAGTTTCTTAGTAAATGTAGTAATTTTGTGGTATGAAATGGGCTTCCAGGAACCCATTTGCAGTTTATGATTTGGTGCTTATGGGAAATATAGGTTCTAATTATGATGGCTCTCCAGGAACTCTGTAAGTATACCAAACCATTTTAATATGCATGAGTCACTTTATGCTTCTAAATTTCAGTGTCACCTAGACTTTACTCCATAGGTGTCAGTGGAAGTTCTGATCATCTGTTGAGCATTTTCCAATACTTCTTGATTAGTTTTTGTAATCGCGGTGTTATGTCCCAAAACTATAAAGTCCTGTATTAACTGTTATATTTGTCAGTTTCCCACCTCGGTGGCCCGGGTTTGAGCCCTGGTCATGTCATGTGGGATTTGTGGTAGACAGGTGGCACTGGGGCAGGTTTTTTTTAGTACTTCGGTTTCCGCTACCAATTCACATTCCACCCATTGCTCCACAATCATCCTCATCATCATCTGTCATTTGGAGCTGGTACAATAGCCCAAACAGTGGCCCCAGCACCAAGTGGACTCAGTCTCACCCCATGAGAAAAAAAAATGTTATATTTACATATTATGTGCATGAAAAGTACTTGTCACATCATTTTTCTTCCCATGTTAAACTTCCAGACTCGTTGGTTTGCCACGCTGAAGAGCATGGTGTGCCGGTGTTACACCTACCATGGCTGTGAGTTCATGCTGCGGTTTTGTACAGAATTATCCAAATGTCCCAGCACAACATATGAGTTTGTTGAGTCATTGGATGGAACAACATCGTTATACAGCAAGGAGACTGGAAGATTAATGGTCACTTTTCGGAATGAAAACCGGGTTAGTATTTGCTGGAAAAGTTCTTTGTTCAGTTTAATGAAACTATAATGAAAGTCAGTGAGCTTATGGACTCCATACAAAATAATGTTCTTGCAGTATTTCAGCACCCTCTGCCTTGCAATTTTTGTGGAGCATGGGTGTGAAAATCATAAAAAATAGAATTTTTTGGCATGCTGCTTCCACTAAAATTATTATATCTTTTTCCCCGTTCAATCTACAGAGCCTGTATGAGGCTTGTTTGAAAACCAGTTAAATGCTCTGTTTACAGATATATGACTCACGTTCGGGTAGAGTGATTTTGGTTTTAATATCACCTGATGTAACCTTCTGACCTTCATTTTCTTGGAAAATGTGATTACTTTTTCAAAGAAAAATATATATGGTTCATAATGCTGTATTCTGACATTCTGCTTTACTCTGAGACAACCATGTCAGTTGTAATAAAATCATAACATTGCATACTTTAACCCTACTGTGTTTGCCACTGTAAATTTTGCATTCTGGTCCGATGTTGGGCTCAGTCTGGCATATGTTTTATGAATGTTACAGATGATCTAGAGTCAGGCTGAGGGAAGCAAACAGTGTCAGTATATTATTTAAGCCTTCCTCTTTGTGATGGTCTTAACAAACCATTCATTGCAATACTTTGTAAGTTTTGTAATAGATTTTTCAAAGGATCTGCATATACTTTAATCTGTAGTTACATTGCTGTGACATTCCAGTGGGCTTGGAGTTGTGTAAGAAAGTGATTAAAGGCTTGGTAGGAAGCAATTTCTTTACTAAAACCGTCACAACACAACGACATTAAGGTCAGTGCCAAGTTTGGCTCTGCTACACGTATATGTTTTGGCTACTAAAAGCCATCATCAGGCAAATACATGGCTAACATGTATACACCACTTAACTGCAGTACTAGTAAAATTGGATACAATGATATTAATTATATTAAAATACTTGGCGTTAAAGTACAATAAATTAGACTATATATATATACAATGAAAGTTATAGTATAAAACAAGATTAAAATTCTTCAAATGATGCTTTACATCATCGAGTCAGTTGTTGGTTTTTGCGATTTTGTTTTGTCCCCCCCCTCCCTACCTTGCATTGAATTATAACATACATCACCAAATCAGTCGTTTACATTCCCTACAGAACTGACAATACTTTGTAAGATGAGGCACTGACTAAATAGTAAGTAAATAATACACTATATCTTCAATACAAAAATCAAGTATTAATTATAAGAAAATTTAATACTATTACTCTCATATCATTTTCAGATTAACATTAATATTACTACATCTACATCACGAGCCTCCGAAACAGTTTATTATATATACACAAAATATAGAATACTCCAATTTGTCCATGGGAACAAAAAGTAGGTTTAAAGTGTATGACAAATGTAGGAGGAAGCTTTCCCTATTACTTGAAACTGATAACCTTTTGCAAGAACAAGGGGACTCCTTGGACAATTTATAGTGGCAGTGGAATAAGCACATACAGGAGGACAAATGTGCAGACATTAAATACAGTATAGCTGAATTGCCTGTCAGACTGAAAAGAGCAGGTGAAACAATATGCTGTGGTGGAGGGCACCGCAATTGAAAGTGCAGTAAGAAAACAATCTTTGGAATTTCATGAGACAAAGGAACACCAACACTACCTGCAGGTTCTGAATCTGTGGTATTGGAGAAGTGAAAGGTTTAAGGAAACAACAAAGAGAAGTTTCATAATAATAGTTTTGACTCTTGTCTCAAAGGATGAAATATCAGAAAAATAGAAGAATAATTTTCAAGAGCCTCTACTTTATGGTACATTCAGCTAAACAGCTAGTAAATGAACATGTAGCTCTTGCTTTGCCACATGTAAAGCCTGGGAGAAGCCTAGTCCCAGAAGCATCTTACCCTCCTACCCAGTTGAGAAGTTGTGTTGTAATGACAATGTCAGCACAGTTTTCCTAGGACAAAGGCAGTTAAAAGACTGGTGGTACAAAAGTACACAAAAGAGACTGGTATCAAACAATCTGCCAGAAGTATATGCTAAGTGTAACGAATAACATCCCGGGCTCAAGTTGGGCTCGTGAAATTTGCACCTCTTCTACTTAAAAACTGTGTGCTAGCTAGAACAAGTGGAATGTATAGTGTTTTCTGTCTGATAATATGGATGACACATGGAAATACTCATCTCTCAACATACCATCACTGCTCAGCAGTGGGGGGGGGGGCCTGTGTAGAATATCCTGGAGCAAATAAATTGCAAGATTTACTTGCAAATTTAAAATTAGTGGAAAAATGCTGTTAAACAGGTTACTCAGCACTGAATATCCACAGATCAGTGCTTGAAACCACTGTGAAACCAGTTGATAAATTTACTGATATGTTCATTGCAAAGCTGGCAGGATTACAACTATACTCTTTTGTTGCTTTTAAGGAAGCAGTGTATTTGAGTGAATTCAGATCTGAAGAAGTGGGTATAGTCATTCTGCTGTATGATTTTGCAGAAAATATTTCTTTATATTAGAAGGTGAGACACATGGATTCCATTGGCATAATGCCCAAGCAACTCTTCATTTCTTTGCAATTTATTTCTGAGAACCCATAAGAAAAATGTCACACATAAGCTTAATAATGATTTATGCCTATCCTAGACATGAGGCTACTGTTCACCTCTTCCAGAAATATTTGATTAATTTTCTTCACAATGCACTTGTCTGTTTAAACAAGATGTATTTTTCAAACGAGTCAACACCACAATATAAAATAGGAAGATCTTTACCACTTCACGTGGCAGTAATGCATGTGATGCCTTGGAGCAGCAAGAGCTGATTCGCAACAGCCATTCACTGATGAAGTCATGATCCCAAGACAACTGTTCAGTTGGACACAAACCAATATACAGAACTTGAAATTCAACAGCTAAACCAATACATGGAATGCTTTGTGCTTCTATATCCTCGTGGTCCACTACTGTCCTATTGATATCTCTAACAGCCAGACATACCGAGCATCCCTTTGTTACAATGAAAATAGATCCAAGAACAGCCATAGCACAAACATACACTTTATAATATCTGTCAAGATGTAGTTGATGATTCAGAAGTATGAAAAAGTGACTGTATTGTAATCATATCTGTTGATGTTAGTAACTTCTGTGCTGTAGGGCCTGTTGTGATGAAGATGTAGTAAATAATGCCCCAGAGTTACCTATTTTGTAGCTTGCTCATGTGCATGATTTTACAGCAAGGTATACTATGGCTGTCCCAGGATGACATTTTGCTGTGTGTTAGACTACAACAGGCATGTCCAACTTCAAACAGGTTGTGATCGACTTTTTAGTGTCAGAACTGCCAATGATCTGCCAACCCCTCCTATCGTTGTACCTCTCTTTAAGCAAAAATATTGGTAAAAATAACATGACACATGATGTTTGTTGTAAAAGCAACTAGTAACTGGGCTGTGTCTCTGATGTCTGTAGCTTCATCCAGTTGGAGGGAGAAAGCAACACAATTGGAAACATCTTTCAGCAACTGTTCAATTATGTTCCCACACATCATTTCTGTTCGCCGCACAGTGGTGTTTCTTGATAATTAAAGATCTTCAATAGTAGCTATGATCTGTTTCTTATTTTATACTAGCTGTAGTCGGCCACGCGTTGCTGTGACAGATCGAGTGAATTAAAAAATTCTGTTGGATAATTAACCACTTCATCTGCTTCCACAACAGTGTCGACGGACTTGTATATGACTGCCTCGCAGTGAATGTTAAACTGAATGATATTGTTAAGTTCGTAGATGTCTTTGTTCTTGGCCGCAAGAATAGCTCATTCACTCAGGTGATTCTTAGAATTGGTTTGAATATTGGGAAATAATTTTTCAACCAATTCTTCTTTTGACGTCACTAAATTGCAGAAGTTACGAGGCAACGAAATTCGTCCTGAGGTCAGATCAACCAGCACCTTTCCGTTCCCAATTTCCAGCAGTTGATGCCAGAATCGATCGTTTTGCAGCTGGACATGCATATTTGTAGTTAATTTTAACATCTTTACGTGTCTCCACACAGTAGAGTATTTCAGGCAAGCATTTATTTCGTCCGCTGGTGTCGATCGAGGAATTACAGGTAATGTTTGCCTGAAATCTCCTGCAAGCAATATTAATGCGTTCCCAAGTGGTCTGATGTTTCCACGCAAATCTTGCAATGATCGATGAAGAGCCTCGAGCAATTTTTTGTGCACCATTGTGCATTCATCCCAAACAGTAAGTTTGCATTTCTGCAATACCCTTCCCATGCCTGATCCTTTGGAAATGTTGCACATGGGAGTTTCAATGAATTTGCATGTTCAATGGCAATTTCAAAGCGGAATGAGCAGTTCTTCCAACTGGTAGCAATGTTGCAGCTCTTCCAGACGACGCAAGAGCTAAGGCTATGTCATTTTGGGATCGAATTGCTGCCAGAATCAATCTAATTAGGAACGTTTTACCAGTTCCTCCTGGCGCATCTAAGAAGAAGAATTCTGCAACCCCGTTATTGACAGTTCGCATTATTTGATTGTAAATGCCTTTTTGCTCAAGCGTTAGCTTAGGAATATTTGATTACACATACGACAAAAGATCACCCGTGTTGTAATTTTGTTCACGACGCAATTCTACATTGAACGAAGCAGCAGCAGATCGATTCGGTGATGGCATTCCCAATTGATTGAGAACTTTGTTCGCGATTTCTAAGCACAAATCTTCAATCATTATCAACGCTTCGTTGCAGATTTCTGCTGTGAAATCCATGTTCATATTGGAATTTTCCTTGCGTATTCGACGGAAAATATCTTCAGCCATGTGCGATTTATATTTCTCCCATAACTCTGTTGGAGATGAAGGAGAGCAGGCGGTCAATATGATTGCAAACAATGCATGAATTTGATGTGGATGTGACGTGTTGCACGCATCAGTAATGCATGTAGCATGTTTGGGTATGTCATGCTACAAATAACTTTACACCAAATTAATTATATCGAATCTTTATTGTAATTCACTTGCACACTTTACAATTATCGCCACTTGCAGTATTAGAGTTACTGGTTACACAGTCTCTCGGCCAATACTCCTGTATATCTTGGAGTCTAAGTTCCAGCCTTCTTCAGCGGCAGCTATTCCAAGACTGACTGGGCGAATGAATTCAACCTCCTTTTATACCCTCGGCCGCTGCTATGCAAATGAGCCTTTGTCCTAACCGCGGAAACGCTGCTTTGTTGATTTTGCGATTCCTACACAACGACCCATTTTTATTGCGTTGTCTCTGTGGGAACGCTCTGTGTATTCGTTGTAACCGTGGAGATTCCATGCAGTATCGCTATTGTTACTTCCTATGCAACGGTCTGTTCTAGCGTTTCCATAGGGGTGACTCTTCTGAATTCCAAATTCTAATTCTGTTTTTCAAAAGAAGCATGTTTTTACCTGTCACAGGTGTGACATCTATATAATAGGTATATAAAAACGCGCGCATACGAATGCAACGTTGTGTCAAAATTTCGAAGCAATCGGTGAAGAAATTTCGGAGATTTAAGATCCTGAACAAACAAACATTTACATTTTTATTTATATAGATTACAAGTGAATTTACGTGCTTTTCACATATAATTTCCTTTTAGGCCCATGAGATCGACCAAAAATCGTCCCGCAATCGACGCGTTGGACATGCCTGGACTACAACATTATGAACCAGATGTGTGCGTCCTTGTGTTTGGTGCAATTTTTCTTTTTTCACACCTTCCCCCCCCTCCATTTTAATTGGAGGTGACAATGAAACAAAACTACTTTTATTTGAATGTGAGTCATATATGTCTCTGAAAATAACATTTTGTTAGCCTATAAACAAGCCCTATATGAGCTCTGTAGCTTGTACAGAACATAAGTGATGATAATTTTCGTTGGAGGCAGCATTCCAAAAACTGCACAACAAAATCTGCAAGACATAAGGTACTGAAATTTTGCAAGAATACTACGTTCTCTGGAGTCTACAATCTTTCTACGTGACACTGAAATTGGAAGATTGCATTGAAGTTTGTAGTCTTCTGTGCTGATACGTTAACCTTTATCGGACGAATGTCATCATATGATGTCGTTAAAAGTTAGGGCAGCTGGCCGAACATCATATGATGTCGCGGATTTCACGCGTGTAAGTTTTTTTTTTTTTTTAATATTATATTAAAAATATAAATTGTTGTTCTATTTACATGATTTTTGGTCACCACCTTTATAAGGAGACAGCCTTCGTTCCTGCATGATCTAATGTAATCTAGGGACGTCATATGACGTTAAAAGTAAGGACAAATTTAAGAACGACATCATATGATGTCGCGCATTCCACGCGTGTAAAGATTTTTTTAAAATTAAATTTAAAATATAAATTGTTCTTCTATTTACATAATTTTTGGTCACAACCTTTATAAGGTGACAGCCTTCCCTCCTGCGTGATCTAATGTAATCTACCGACGTCATATGGCCGAACGACCTCATATGATTTCGCGCATTGCACGCGTGTAAAGATTTTTTTAAAATTAAATTTTTGCTCTACTTACGTGATATATGTTCACCATCTTCATGAGGAAACAGCCTTCCCCCCTGCGTCATCTATGGTAATGTGGCCTTCGTATGGTACTGCCGAAAAAATTCCGAAATGCAGAGTCCGACGTCGCAGCTCACGCACTTCGTACGAACGCTAGACCGCTTCCCACGCGAAAAGCACACACGACACCTCAGTTGCGATTTAGAGGAAGCAGGCCAGTGATGTCGAGCTGCAGTGATATTTATCCCCGCAGCTACACCGGAATAATTATTCACACCTCTCCAGCCACACTGGTCAGGCGGTCCCCAAGTTGCCAACGAAGGTGATGACCCGTTGTCCGCGGAATCAGAATTCCAACTTTGCTCGCCCCTCTCATAATCTGTGTCATTGAACAGCTGTTTCTCAATTTTAGGCATCAGAAGACCAACCTTCCACGCCACATTCAGAATCGGTTGAATAGCAGTCCGAATCTGTGTCTCATTTCAGCATTTTCCATACGACGTCGTAGTGTATACGGCTCTCTAGCAGTGCTAGCAGTGAATCTCTGTGCTTAGACCACGATAAGAAGCCATAAATCTTAACCTCGAGCCCACACATACAAAAATCTCATTCACGACTTGGCTGAACCCAATATCTATTTCATGATGTCATGGGTGGCTAAACTTACACTGCGATGTTTCAAAATCATTACAAACACAATGGTTTGACTGCAATGAATGAACGAATTACCGATCTGGCAACACCATATTCCGAGAAGTAACTTCTGTGTTTATCTAACACATTAGGCAGCGAGGAATTTCAGACGTAAACAGTCGTGCATAGCGACATGTCCCATACGATAAATAAGCTACAACAAGAGATACGATTGAATGTGACGTCGCTACAAGGACTTAAACTGCTAAAACGCATGGTGCAGAAAATGTATTACACTGCTAGAATGCATGGTGCAGAAAATGTATGAATTTCGGGAAATTTTATTTTGGGAATCAGTGTAAAAATTTTTTACAGATATTAAAATCTGTAAATTAGAATATCTGATTCTATATTCTTTCTACATTAAAGGAGCGTTCATTTCGTTCGTTTATCATAAAAAATGTAGAAATCACACCATTTTTAGAAACATGCTTACAATTTCATTGCTCTAGAAGGGCGGGCATTTAAATAAACTCCGTCCAGCTGCCCCTACCGGAAATTAAATGGCCCGTCCGATAAAGGTTAAGGATTGACACCTGCATCTTTGGGCTAGAAAAGTCTACACTGAAGGTGAAGGCAGCATATCCCACTTGAAACACTGGTACCCGTTGTACCAAACTACTCAGGTCACATGCCATATATCATGATCTTCTTAGCAACCTCAAATTTCATTTTGCTTTGATTCCTAGAGCCAGTGCAGGCATCTTTCATCTTATGAATGCACAATTTGGAAAAGTACATGGAAATTTCATTTTCAGCTTACAGCTTCACCCCACAGACCTTTTTCATGGACTGAATTACCTTTGCAAGTTGAGGGATACCTATATTGAAATTGTTTCTTTAAAATGTGCCATCTGTGTCTCAGTTATTTTATGTTATCTTTCCATTTTATATAACTCAGAAATGAGACTAACTGCAGAAACAAAAACAGTTCTGATGCTTTCATTGTGCAGTTGCATTACAGTGCTGTTTTTTTAATGTTATATTGGATTTTCTATCGAAGCACAGTGCTTTGCCAATGTCAGTTTGAGCCACATGGTCTATTTGCTACCAGTGGGTTTCTTAGGAAACATGGTGTGTAGAGGTAAAAGTGGTGTAAGTTATTTCAGTAGTTATACTTTTTAGAAATATGTATGCACATCCTCTGTGTTGTATTAAATGTTTTGGAACTGGAACTCGGATGTGAGCCAGTATATAGAAATTATTTGCCTTGTCCTATATCATGTATAATGATCCATGGATGTTAATAAAAATAAATAAAAAAAGCACCCATGTAATTGCGTAGCTTGCATAGCAGTGTATAAATAATTCTTTTTTATATATCAATTTTTCGTGGAAGTTGTTGTGATTTTTCGTTAATTCTCATTTCACTTGTAAGAGGTTCACAGAAGTTCATTTTTGGTAAAAGTTTGTAGATATGTTTTTTCAGAAGAGTCATATTCAAAATCATGTTTAGGATGACAAAACACCCACAGTCAGAAGGATTCAGTAACATATTGACCATCCTTCCTCAGGAACAAATTTTCTACATTGCAGGAATATGATAAAGGGGTGGAGAGTAATCCCCGGCGATTCTTGGTCCGAAGGAATTGTTCTCAAAATACGTCCCACATTCTCCTTCAACCTCCAGTTTTCGACATATATCTGTGTGACAACTGTGATGGGGAATTTGATTCTCTGCCTGAAGTACAGGTAAATTTTGTTAATTTATGTATTAGTTCATTATAAACCATGTGGTTTGTGGAAATGGTCAGTTCTTTTGATTTTTTATTTATCCAGCCAGCCAGCTGGTACTCTTTTCGATGTGTGCTCTGTCAAAAGGTTATATAAAACAGTGAAACTGTGTTAAAGATAATTTCTGGAAGAACGTATAATGTCTGCATTTCTTTAAGTATTGTCGCGTATCGGGCGTATATCGCGACAAATAAATTCTCGATGTATTCGATGTAGCGAATTTTATTTCACATTCGCACTTACACTCACCCAAATTACAGATTTACAATTACTGCTATCTGCAGTATCACACTTAGTACACTCCAAATGCCACAATACAACTGACTGGTTGCTGGCTCTGAATACAACTCGGCGACTGTTACAGTACAACTGACTGTGAATAGCCTTCGCTGCTCCTTATGTAACCTCGATCGGACAATACGGCCACGTAATAGGCACCCTTGTTGCCTGGCGCTGTGTTGCTATGTAACGCTAGCGGAAGTAACCGCTGTTACTACCGTAACGTCGCCGCTGTTGACTCGCGTTGCCTAGCGACCGCGATATCCCTCGGTGACGTCACCGCGGAGGGGAGTGGCGGGGCGGGAACTTGCCTATTACCGTATTAACGCGAGCGTTACGTTACCGCCACGTACCGCTGGGGAGGTAGGGGTCAACATGTCAACATATTTTAAATACGTATAGAAAGGTGGACACATGTTACGATAAATAACATTACTTACATAATTTCAGATAGCAAATATGTACTGTACTGAATACTGCTTAGGCATAATAACCAATATGTTGAAAATAAAATATAGTGACTTCCTAGTTATGATGAAACAATCTGCGACACTATTTGATGATGACCTACCCTCGAAGATATTTTAGGTACAGTATAGTTACAGTGGTTTGTGAGTTGTCACCCCAGAGAAACTGAATTGTAAATAACAGAGCAAATGGTTGCTTCACTTAACTCTTCGACCTTGAAGATGGCTCTAGTACATTCCTCCCAAAATGTTCGTAAACTTCTACCAGATCACACAGCATAACGTCCAAGAAGGTAGTGCTCTTCCTACATAGAAGTTGCTTGTAGCATGCTGAAATGCATGTGTTTCAGTGGTGTGAAAAACATGCAGTACACATTATGTTATAAATTATTTTCATTTTGACAGGAACATGAGAAAACTTGTGGAAAGCAGCAGATCTCTCAAGAGATGATTCCAGAGGAACAGCCCAAGCAGCAGAGCCAAGTGAGTGAAAAGTTCACAGTGTTATATTTGAGCATCCTGTTGCACTGTATAAATCTGACTTTTGCAGATAAATACCGTATGTCCAAAAAGTATCCAACTTTATTTTTTTCCGCTATAAGTAATGGCCAAAGGGGTGGGGAAACTCAGCGAAGTGGTAGAAGGGACTTTCATGCGCATGCGTGATTTTTTGCTGACTCGCAACACACCTGGATGCGTCTGTGACTGCCAGATAGCGAAGTGGTATAACGCGTGTTTGTTGCATTCTCGTTTCGCTCAAGATGACAGAACGCTTGGAGCAGTGATACTGCATTAAGTTTTGTCAGAAACTTGGGCTATGACCTGGAAATCAAGGTCCAGGCATCACAATGGAAGCATCCAACATCCCTGAGGCCCAAAAGAGCACGACAGTTTCGGAGCAATGTGAAGGTGATACTGACTGTTTTTTGCGATTACCGGGGTGTTGTGCATCATGGGTATGCACCACTAGGCCAGACTGTCAATAAGGAATACTACCAAGAAGTCCTTCGCCATCTTCATGATACAGTTCGGTGCAAGAGACCGGAGCTGTGGGACGCACGCAACTGGCAGCTGCATCATGACAACGCCCCAGCTCATTCATCACACCTGATCCAAGGTTTCCTGGCCAAGCACGGCATTCCGCAGGTTTGCTAGGCTCCCTACTCACCTGACATGGCTCCTTGTGATTTCTGGCTGTTCCCGAGATTGAAGACACCACTAAAAGGCTGCCGTTTTGACAGCCGTGAGGACATCATACAGAACGCTACGGTGCAGCTGCACGCCATTCCAAAAGAAGCCTTCCAGAATTGCTTCCAGCCATGGAAGGACCGCTGGGCTAAGTGAGTGGAATCACAAGGGGCCTACTTTGAAGGCGATTAGGTATTGTAACCACCCAAATGCAGAACTTTTTTTTCCCGGCCCAAGGTCGGATACTTTTTGGACAGAGTAGTATATGTAACTTGAAGCATATTAATGATAATAAATGAGGCAGAAGTTTCTCATTTTTTTCTTGAGATAGTATGTGCTGTTATAGTTAAAAATAATATTATGCAGCATAGAGGAGAAGCATTAATTAATTTGTGTTATAAATATTCTTTGCAGGATTCATTCTTATTATATTTTAATTTAAAATCAGTCAATTCTGAAAATGTGCCAAGAGCTGTAAGCCCCTTGAAGAAAAATAGTTGCAAGAGACGTTATCGTGTGGGTGTAAGATTTTCACGTTGCTCTGCTGTTCCATTCTCATCACCTTTAGGTATTCTCATACAGAGGAAATCGCGCATGGCTCCAATTAATTCACAGGTTAGTCCAGCGTTAAAGATTCATTATTTTATTACAATGTAATATAGTGGATGCCTCTTGTTGCAGAACCTACAGTTTTTCTTCAATATAGAAATGTGTTACATGCTTGCTTTTGTGCTTTCAGTACTTTATTTCTTCAGCTTGTTTATCTGTATAGTTAGCCATTTTGTCACCTGTATTAGTGACTTGTAAACAGGATTTGGATTGATGAATTAATTTAATGGATATTCCCAAGTGGTAACTACAGATAATTGTAAAGCCCTCTGGATTACTGTAACTATTAACATGTGAAATAATGTCTTCAACACTTCAACTATTCAGCTGCCTTCTGAATTCTCTTAGACTGGTGGCTACTCAGCTGCAACTGAATGTCTTGCATATAACTCTTCAACTGCCTCCTTTGGTCTCACCCAGCTCTTACACAATCCTTCAGCCGACCGCATACCTCACACCATTCCCAACAGTTAATTTTGTCGCATTCCTCCGTTGCTGTAATGTCAACAAATCATAACTGGATATCGGCTTTCTACAGTTAAAGTTACGCTACATGCAGTGAATGATAGTAACCAAAACTGTTGTGTAGCAATGGATGCCATTTCTTATAGTGCTTAGGAATGCGTTCACCCAGCCATTGGCTGGCAGTGGATGTTTGCTCTGACTTCGCTATTCCAGCTTTCAGGCATCATGTCACAATATTAATTCACATCATTACTAAAATTTGAAAATAATGCTATTTTTTTCTGCCATTTTTATTTAATTAGTCATGGTATAGGTCACTGGCAACACCCTTTGTGATAGGTTAATCCCTGGTCACAGGAGAATTTTCTCATCACTGCCATGTTCAAACCAGCTCTTGGGGCTACCCAGCCATCTGGCTACATTTAAAATAAGAACGTGCATACTTTGTTAGGGAAGATGATGGCCATAACAGTATAACCTGGCACTCCATATCTTTAAATTGAAAAAGACATTGCAGATTTTATCCCCCCCCCCTTCCCCTAGCATGGTCACAAAATTTTAGCTCTGGAGGAGTAAAATTCAGACCCTTTTCCCATGTAGTGACATGAGGAAAGTAAAATATTCTTGCATTTTTCCATAGCTGTACAATAATGAAATGTTAACTTCCCCAATACTATAGGTACTACTAGAGCGACTGGAGCGGTACTGCATTACAAATGTGGAAGGTGCAAGTTCTAGATTTCGAGAACGCGAATTTGAAGACAAAATGCAAGAAGCAATTGAATGGCCTGTCACCTGGAAACCTCCACATCAGAAGAAAGCACAAGACATCTGGACACATCATTACTGTTTTACAGTAAAGGAGAGTCATGAAAAAATTGCTAGAATAGCATCTGGAGGTATTGGAACAAAAATTTCCTTGGATTATTATATTCGATTTGAGGGTTTCAGCTTAATGAGATTTGTACAGTGGTTTTATTTGTCTAGTAAGCCTTTATCACATACAGTATGTAAATGTGACTGTTTACATTTGCTGTATACTTATACATACAAACTTTAAGTTTCAGAGGATCATCTTAATTCTCTCCCTGGTCATAAGAAGTGTTTTTATGGTTAATAGGAATAAATCAGTAATTTTATTATTCAGTTTTATCAACATTTGCTGTCTTATATTCAACTAACCATTCACATATTTCTGATTTACAGTCTAAAAATAGCCATGAGTGACTATTAGTTTAGTATAACCTGCGTATTTGTCTGTTTCTTGTTATATCATAGTCATGTCCCATCATCAGCTTTATAGAATTCATTGAGTCATATTTTCTGGTTGTGAGTAAATATTCTGGACAGCACTATAATAATGCAAGTAATGTGTGTATAACATATGCAAGCAGCTTTCCAGTTGATGTGAAGAAATTTGTTTCCTGAGTATTGCGATCGATATGGAACTCAGTAATAGGAATATATTCGTTCATTCATCCATCCATCCATCCATCCATCCATCCATCAGTGGCTCTACAGCCCTTTGCTGGGCCTTGGCCTCTTCTTGTGTTTAATTTTTTTACGCAGACGGTAGGACTCCTAGGACAAGCTATCAGCCCAATGTAAGGCTGATACCTACACACAGGACAACACAAACAGAATAAAAAGGACACAAGACATCCATGTCTTGAATGGGATTCAAACCCATAATTGTAGCATTTGAGCAAACGAAGACAGTTCATGGCTTAGATCTCATGGTGACTGTGATCGGCAGGAATATATAGATACCCAAGTTAATTTTACATTAACTTAGACTTTTAACCTTTATGAACCAAAGGACACCGTATGGGGACCTTTAAAGTAAAGCCGAGTGGCCGAAAGACACCGTGTGGTGACTCGCAGTCACACATGCGCACAGCATTTTAAAATCTAATTTTAAGATAGAAATTCTTGTTCTACTTACATAATTTTTGGACACCAGCTTTATAAGTAGACTGTCTTCCCTCCTGCATCATCTAACTGAATGTTGCATGTAACTGAATGCAGAGTCCAACGTCTCAATTCATGCACTTTTTCCATATGTAACGCTGTTTTCCACGCGAAGCGCGCGCGCACACACACATCATCTGTCTTGTATTAGCAGGAAGTAGGCCAGTGATGGCAAGTGGTCTCCTGTATTCGTAACGCTTATAAAACATCACAATTTCAACTATGCACCATGGCCCCATTTCGCATGGAAGAAGCCGAAATTGAGAGGCTGCTCGTAAATCACACCATTCAGAATGCGGTACAGTCGGTTGTGAAGGGACAAGGGCGTAAGGGGCATTGAGGGGAATATTCCAAGAACAGTAACTCTGTGTGGATAGTCCAGACGTGTATAAACAGGGATAAGAACTCGCCCACACTCATGTATACAAGAAGCCAGCATGACTGGAGAATGTGCAATGAAAACAAACATCCTCTCTCCTCCAGATAAAACATAGTCAGACCGTGTGTCAGCAGCATGCATTTATACTGCAGAAACGTTTTGTGCAGAAGCTTTATGCATTTTTGTGGACAGACGCTCAAAATTGGGGGAAAATTTTTTTTGGAATCAATGTAACAATTTTTACAGATTCTAAAATCTGTAAATTACAGTATCTGATTCTATATTCTTTCTATATAAAAGTAGCGTTTATTTCATTCATTTATCACAAAAATTGTAGAAATCTCAGCATTTTGAGTAACATGATTACAATTTTTATTACTCTACAATGGCGGGCATTTAAATTAACTCCGTCCTGCTGCCATTACCAGAATTTAAATGGCCTGTCTCTTAGAGGTTAACTTCAGGGTATTCACTAATTTTTATTAACCAATCTGAAAAAATTGCTGTTCACTTTATGACACAAATCTGGCATTTTTGTTTTTATTTCTACTTCATTTTGGATATTTTATGGCCATATTCTTTTAATAGGACTTAATAACCTCAAAGAAGGTTCTGAAAGATGCTTCAAGAGTTAAAAGATTTTCCTGAACTTACGTAACATCTACTTGCAACCGAATGCTAATTACGAGCCATCCTTTGAGAGGGAATATCCTGCCCACTATTTTTACATGTTCGCAAGTACAGACAACTCATATTCCACATTTCTCTGACTTGGGTGGGATGATATCACAGAACACAGCCATCCAGATGCATGTTCAGAGTTCTGTCAAATCTGCTGTGTTTCAGTTAGCGCTGATGGCATTTAACTGTTTACCCCAATCTTTTAATTAATTAATGCATTAATTGTAAAAAATTAGTGAATTATTCTCTGAGCATGGGCAAAATGCAGTGAAAGAACTTATATTGTATAATTCACATAACTGGTATTTACCATGCATGGCTGAAGCATGTTGTGAACATTCAAATGAATGTAACATGATGGTGAAGAACAGTCACACAACCACCAGACATTAATGTAAGTTGCAATTGGCTATATGTTACAAAAGGATGCTGAAATATAATACTACAATGAGATGAGATCTGAGATAATGCTAGCAATGATAAGAAGGTGGAATTATTCTTTGATATTTTCACAACTGATATTTCCTGTTAATTGCTTCAAAGAAGGAATATTATTGCCATATTTCAATTGTCATTTAAACCTTAGCGCCATATTGTGCAGGGTGTCCAGACAAAAGTATCCAAAATAAAATGATTATATCTCAGAAAGCATTTATTATATACATTTATGAGTTACACCATTACAAAGGGAAACTATCAAAGTTTTTTCCTCTGAGTATATAACTTATTCAGTAAATTTCAGTGTGGCCTTCCATGGTGGCACGACAAATATCCAGACAATATTTGGCCTCGTTTCACATTGCTTGAAGCATGTTTGGTGTTACCTTAGCCAAAACGTCCCTTATGCAGACTTTCAGATGTTGAAGGTCGTTGATGTTAACCCGGTAGACAACGTTCTTCACATAATCCCACAAGAAAAAAAATCCAGTGGGGTTAAATCTGGAGACATAGGAGGCCAAGTGATTGGTCCGTCTCCCAGCCATCTCTCTGTCCAGGTGATTGCTAACATGGCAGAAATATGGCAGTGCCCCATCTTTTGGGGGGATAGTTTGAGGTGTTAATGGGGGCAGCGCATGCAGCTCCAACATGTCCAAGTACGAGTACAAATGTCCGGTCACAGTCTTTTCAGCAAAGAAAATCACTCAGATCAACTTGTCATGCATTAAGCCGGCCCACACATTCACTTTGGGGCTGCCTCTCTCCAACTCACATGTGACATGTGGATTTTGAATGCCCCAAATCCTGCAGCTGTACCTGTTTACAGCTTCATTAACATGGCACATTGCCTCATCCAAGAAGCACACTTGGTGGAGGAAATTAGGTTATGCGTCAATTCTTTCTAGCATGCCCACAGCGAAGTTTGTGCGCTCTGCTTGGTCACTTTGTTTTAGTGCATGAATCATTTGAATCTTGTATGCTACGCTCTTAGGTGGAGCATTTTCTTTGTAGCACAACATTCACTGTTGAACATGGAATTTGTAACTGCAAGCTAGCAGCACAAATTGATTTGGATAATGGTGTTTGTTTTGCTTGACATGATGCTTTAGTTTGAATAACAGAGATGCAGTCTTCCCTCTGTGTGTTATTTGCTGTTATAAAATATGCAGGAAGAGTTCAGGGGTAAAATCACAACTTTTAAAGCATATAAAACTTAACATCATCCTAATATATAGTCAGTCACAAACCACTGTATTATAGTCAAATGTGCTTATTTTTAGTGGTTAAAAGAGCAATATAATGAGCAGCATTGTAGCCACTGGAACTGAAGTGTGTCTTCAGATCATGGTCTTCTGGGCTGTGACCGTGTGTAGTAGGGTCAGTGGAACTCACTGCCTCCATTCTCAGGTTAGAAGAGTCACTCTCCTCTTTGTTTACCAAGCTAAATTAGTCACATCCAAAAAGACCATGATCTTAACATTTACTGTTGTGAGAACCTCAAATTTCATAGTTAAATGAGTCTGGCCATCACAGTTTTATGTAATTTGTTTGTCTAACAACATTGTGCTTTATGCACCTTCAGTATTATTAACATACTTAGTGCTCATCCCATGTTTCTCTTGGATTGTCTTTGTTTAGGACAGTGTGAGAGTTTTAAGTCTGTTAATTGTTTCTGTTCATGTCATCACTGTAGTCATTGGTGTTATAAATTTACTAAAGGTAAACGCACTCATAAAGAGGAACTTCACCTGTTTCTTTCAGGTGTTTGTTACCAGGTTCTTTATGCTCCTTTTGCTCTCTCTGGGAATAACATTTTCCATGACTCCTGATGGCAGGTTTCCACACACCTTTTGTGTCAGCATCAGCTTTCATATAATGCTTTTTTAATGGTCCAAAAATGGTAATAGTCAGGTGGAACAAGGTCCGGACCATACAGTAGATGAATGAGAAACTTTGATATAAGTTTTATAACCATTTTGACCAAAAATTGAATCACAGCACATTGTTCAGTAGCCACACAATTTAAGAGTGGAGGCAGCACATTTACCGTGAGGCTGTACAAGACACACTAAACACATCAATAGTGTAAGTCATGTTTAAACTTGTCATAATATAGCCTATACTCTGTTACTTTCTGAGTGTGTTCAGACGTGTTCTGGTTGTTTTATACAGTTACTGCCTTTATATATGGATCTCTTTCACAGCTTATAGATGTTCTGTAGAGTACATTTGTAAAACTGAAAACATTTCATTTTTGGTCATAATAGCACATACAATCCACATAAAATTTGAGCAAATTAAGGCTATTTTTTCTGAAGTATTTTGAAACCAGAATATGAAATTTAATAATTCTAATCAAATACCGTCATTTATACAGACTGACTGATGTCTCCATATACATACCTTGTACACAAAAGAAGTCATCTGCAGAAAGGATATAATTTGTTATTTTACCCTCCTTTATTTCCTGTAATTGGAAAAGATTGTCACATGTTAGTGACTAGGTACAGGGTTCACAAAGATAATTGAATTCTTGAATAGTAATTACTCTTATTTACAAATAAGAACATGGTTTACAAGCATCTACAGTCATTCACAAGTTGTATTATCACTCTTGGCTAGTTTCTTACTAGGTTTCAGGCTCTAATAACTAGGATTACTCTAATGTGTCCCATCCTCAACAGCTCTGGCATTGGGGCCCATTGGCTGTATATAGGTTTGTCTGGACTAATTAGAAAATACCACCCCCAGCAATGTGTGTACTGTTGTGTGTGTAGTCATTGCTGTGGAAGCGTGTTTTAACAATCCAGTGCATGATAACCTTGAATTGTAAGTAGTTACTATAGGATTCTGACGATGGTGTATAACACACTGATATGTTGGGTTTTTGGACTTTATCCATCGTCCTGGTTTTTAAGATAACAAATGAAAACACGACGTTTCAGAAACTGGATCTGTTTCCGTCCTCAGGTGAAGGAAACACCTATTCAGTTGGGTCCGTTAGAAAGAGCTAGCCTCAATCACTGGAGGTCCAGTGTTTTCATTTGTTATCTTAAAAACCAGGACGATGGATAAAGTCCAAAAACCCAACATATCAGTGTAACCTTGAACTGTGTTGCTGTCCTTTATTAGCATCTGTAAACATCAGAATAAACATTTAAAACAAAGTCTGTAGACATATCAATAATTTATCAACAAGAAATTGTTTTTCTCTAAACTAGTGGTGTATTCATAATATAGTCATTTAATGGATCAGAAAATTTGTTTCACATTCCACTTTATATATATTTCTTTTCATTGGTGAAAATGACAGCAAGGAATATATATGAGGGGAAGTCAATAATTATCCGCAGTGCAGTTGTATTTGTGTTTTTCTTGGCAGCACTGTTGTTTTGCGCAGCATCGCCATGCATGGTTTCCTTGTCATTATTTCTGCGCAGGTTTGATGTTGCTAGGTCAGTTCCATCGTTGCTGCCTTGCCGTTAATCATGGCTGCTCCGCTTTCTGTTTGCACCAAAGAAGAGTAACATTCAGTGATCCGGTTTTTGTGGTTGGAAGGTGTATCAGGGGCCGCAATCCATCAAAGACTTTCAGCACAATACGGGAACAGTGTTTTGCCACAATGGAGTGTGTACAAATGGAGTGAAAAATTCAAAAATGGTTGCACAAGTGTTACGCATTAGGAAGGAGTCGGACGACCATCCACGGCCACAAACGAGGACAACATTGAGCATGCACATGACGTAGTTCTGTTAGACAGACGAGTGACTATTGATGATGTGGCAAATCGTCTGCAAATTAGTCATGGTTCTGCCTACGAAATCATCCACAACAGACTTGGGTTTCATAAAGTCTGTGCAAGATGGGTCCCAGAACAACTCACAGTGTTGCATAAACAAACGCGCTTGGACATCTGCCAACAACATTTGGATCGCTATGGTAACGAACATGACGTCTTCTTAGACAGAATCATCACTGATGATGAGACATGGATCCATCATTGCGAGCCGGAGAGTAAACGGCAGAGTATGGAATGGAAACATCCACAATCGCCCAGCAAAATAAATTTCAAAAGCCAACCATCTGCAGGAAAACTGATGCTTACAGTTTTTTTGGGACTCACAAGGCCCAGTACTGGAACATTATCAGGAGAGGGGCACAACAATAAACAGTACTCGTTACAGTGAGATGCTTACTGACAGGCTAAAGCCAGCTATTCGAAGCAAATGCCGAGGACTACCGTCGAAATGTGTTGTGTTGTTGCACAGCAATGCCCGTCCACATACTGCTGCCCACACTGCTGAAACCCTCCAGAAACTCAAGATTGATGTAATGGCTCATCCTCCGTATAGTCCTGACTACCACTTGTTTCGTCCTCTCAAAGGGAAGGGGCCGTCGATTCACCTCGGACCAAGAAGTGAAGGAAGCGGTGCATGCGTGGCTCGCTGCTCAGCCAAAAACCTTCTTTTCTGAGGGCACAGGAAGCTTGTCCAGTGATGGACCAAGTGCGTTGAAAAGCAAGGGGACTATGTTGAAAAATGATATTAATGTAAATCTTCTGTTTGTATTGAAATAAAATTTATAGCTACATTGCGGATAATTATTGACTTACCTATGTATTTTTATTTCATAAAATCACTTGTGCACTTTAATACTATACAAACCAACTAAAACATTACTTTAGGAAAGAAATTAATTTTAATATTTTTTTTACTTTTCAGGGCTGAGTAAGAGGAGTCAAAAACTTCTATCCATGTGTCGTGATGTTCGAGTTGTGATGATGCGGCTTACAGAAGAAGAGATAGTTGGTCTTACAACTAGGATGCCAACACCAGATCCCTCCCCAAGAGACAGTGAGGCTGCATTTCAGCTCCCAACATTGATTCCCAACACCATGTATGCATACAATGCATATTTGAATGTTAAGAACCATTATCCTGAGCCCATAGCGCTGTCACCACAGTCAACAATCCCTGTCATAGATTTATGCTCTACAGATGAGGAAGATGAAGTAGAGCCTATAACATCTGTGCCATTGCTGAGTGATGAAAATAGCCCACTGGTTTTAGCTGAAGAAAAATATCAGGAACAAAATGGAGTTGAAGATGTGGAACCAGTCTTCTGTAATAAAACAAGTAGCCCAAGTATGGCAGTTTACCCTGTAATTGAAACACCATATGAAACTTATGCTCAAGTAAGAAGAAGTTCGTCGTGCCTTGATAAAGGTACATTTGCAACACGGGATCCAAGTGACCCTTCATTGAGGTTCTCAGAATCAGTTTCACAGGGCTGGCAGATGAATATCTGCATGAAGACTCCAATTTCTACTTCCCCAGCACCAGCTTTTACCAATGAGGAAAAACACATTACTTATTCTTCAGCACTTCGTTTTAACTCAGCAGAGGTTCCAGTTCCAAATTTGGCAAGCTCCGAAAGAAAGAGAAGATTGCAGACAAAGAATTTCAACATGATATCAGCATCAGAAACATTTGGCGGTGATGAAGTTGAGGAAGTACATACTCCATTTCTTCAACGTGACAAAGCTGATTATTTTAAATTCTACAATCCATATGTTCCCCTTATTAGGACTAGGATAGATTCTGAAACAAAGGCTCGGGTGTCAGTGCCATCTTATGTGTCTGCTCCATTAACCATTGACTGTACAGATACTGAAAAATCCAATTCCAAGCTCTCATTTCCTTGCAGAAAAGAAGAAATGGAAGTTTCAGTGGAAGATGCCACATCAAACTCACCTTCATTTATTTCAGAGGCTGACAGTTCAAAATCTCTCCATTCTGTATCATCTCTTAATCATAGAAAGGAACAAACACTCACAAAGGTGTGCTGCATGTCATCTGAGGAATCATCCCGTCATAATGCGAGGGATGCATACTTGTCATCGTATGAGGAGACAGGAAAACATCATACAAGTATGTTAAAGATGATTCCAAACACATCTTCACCAGTTTTGACACGTGGGAAAAGTACATCACTCGATGAGACCGTGAACACTTCTGTATCCGATCACTTAATGCCAACACGTCCACGCAGAAGAGTACGATATCAGAGAAAAATGTCTAGCACTACCCCATCATCTCCATCTATTGCACGAAACTTACATACTGATGGGGATGTTGCAAGTTATGCTTCACTGCAGTCTAACCAGACAGACTCTGTGAAAATGCACAGATCAAAGATATCAGTTCCTCTAAGAAAAGAACAATCCCAATCAAAGGTTGTCATAACTCCTCTACCTGCAACGGCACTTACATTCTCAGAGGAGGGAGATGGGACTGCTTATGCCCCACTGCATTGTGATATGGAGGATGATCCAAAACTCCAACATTCTAACCCCTCTCTTCCTCACAGAAGGGACCGGACCCGATATGCTATGAAGAGAGCATCAGAGGCACCCCAGCATATGGGAGATCCTGACTCTGTTGTCCCTACCCCCAAGAAGCCTAATCTCAAAGTTTACAGGGAAACAGTGCCAGGACTGGAATCCAAAACACAAGTAAGTTCAATCAGCAGGACTCTTTCACTGCTGTATAATTGCTGCCCTTTAGTTTCTTCTGCATGTTAGTATAAGTTCTTCCCTACCAAAAGTTCAAATTCCAGAATGTTTCTGTTTCCAGGCCAAGCTTCTTGGCTTATGAGTAGTAAGAACAAAGTATTTCCGGTTCCTCATTTCTCTTTTACAGAATGATATGTAGTGAAATGAATATACAGAAGTGAGTTACAGGTGGAATCTAATGTCCCTTTGTCCTGTTTCCCAATAACATGGAACAAACATTGATGTTTAAAAGAAGTGGCAGTTGTTGAAATTAGCGTACATACTATTGAAAAGGCATAGATGGTTTGCAGGACACTTCAAACAGTGACGTATTTTGGGCATCGGTGAAACTTGAAAAGGCAGCAGAGTCCCTCCAAAGATGTATGGCTCAACATAGATCTCCACTCTCCATCCGCCGACTGCGTCAAAATGAGTGCAGGGAACCAAAAAGAAGAGGACCGGATGAAATTTTGAACAGAAATGACACAGTGTTGTGTGGCGAGTTGATTAATGAGACTGTCCATTCCAGTCTCCTAGTTGCTGAACTTTCAGAGTTGTGGAATAGAAACTGTTCCCAGGTTAAGGACACTGTGAAAGTTGGAAAGCTGTTCAGGCAGGAGGACTTGTAACTGTTCTTTGAGGGACATGAAATGGAATGGGTTTGTGGTATGACAGCTTCTATAAGTCTCTGTAATGTTGGTGACAAAGAAAAATAGCTTCTTTGGAATTATTATGGACATTTCTGTTCATATATTGTACCAAATTTAAGTTTTATAAATTTAAAAATGCAGGGAATAGTTCTGCTTTCAATGGAGATATTTGTAATAGCAAAAGCAGGTGACAGAAATTTTGCAGTATGTTCTTGTCTTTCATTAAACGTTGAACAGTGTCTTCGGTAATTGTGTTTGGGTACATTTCCTCTTCATTTTACAGCATGTGATGTCAAGGGTATTGAATGTTATTCAGATGAAGTGTTAAAATACAGACTTCCAGATGGTTGAATTCAGATAAATCTAGCCCTGTACTAAGGGCCGTGCCATAGCTCAAGCAGTTAATCAGTGGCTTCTCACCACGGCAGCCCGGGTTCGATCCCAGGTCTGGCTAAGTGAGATTTGTGTTGGACAAAGTGGCGCTGGAGCAGGTTTTCTCCGAGTACTTCGGTTCCCCTGCCAATCTTCATTCCACCAATTGCTCCACAATCACCCTCACCTATCGTATGAGGCTGGTACAATAGGCCAGAAGTGCCCACAGTACAGGGGACTTAGTCCCACCCCACTAGCAATAAAACAAAAGGCCTGAAATTCAGAAATAAGAAAAGACTTTGCAGTGTTCTGGCACAGGGGAGACATTTATCCCGATCCAGTGAACAGAGAATTTATCAGTCATAACTATCAGAGGAAATTAAAAAAATCACACACACACACACACTAAAAAACAAGGCTTCAGAATATGAGAATGTCAGCACGAAACAGATCTATGAACTAATGAAGTTGAGCATTAATATTTATTCTGAAAGGTTATATGATATATTCAGAATGTCAGGAAACTTGAAAGCAGGTTGCACTCTGGGTGTCAAAATGGAACTTGAGTGCTTTCACTTGCCTTCATGTTCTTGCAGTGGTCATCTAGAAAGATCCAACTCAGTTCCTAATGGTTGTGTATGTAGTGAGCAGTTGTGTTAAAGTTGTGTCATACTATCCATGATAATTTTGTGATAATGAAACCTTAAAACTGTAGATTGCCTGTTAGGATATAGAGATGGGGAAGCAGTATATGTAAATTGGGAATTGGTTGTGTTGCATTGTTAAGTAAGTAGATTTCATGATATATTTTACTCACAACCAGTTGTTCTTTGCCTCCTGTGTGATAAATGTAGCACAATGAATATCAGTACTGTGCACTTCATCACACCAAATATGTTCTTCACATAATGTCTAACAGCAAATAGTGAGCAACAGGCTGAGTGCATAAAAACGGAATTTTTCATACAATTTTCAGTGCCTCAGATCTACATGAACATGTACAGTGTTTAATCTGTTGTTGTTTTTTTTTTTACGTGGTTATTCCTTAATTTGATCAGTGAGTTATAGTAGAATGGTTGACTCTTTGGACATTATCCATATTCTCCAGAGATGGGCTAACTCTGTCAATTGGGCCTGACTGAGTAGCCTTCTTACCCGAGTACAGTGGTTAATATCCAAAAACTCAGTCATTAAATTGATTACTACAGTTTGTTTTCCAATCCAAGAAACAAATTTCCCAGCTCTATAGCATATAGTGTTCAACTTTCATGTTTGCATGTTAATAAAATTTTCAGAATATCTTGAGCCATAATAAACCATTGGTTTGAAATAGTCATGGGCTTAAGCAGAAAATTTGAGTCAATTTTCTTTGTATATTTCTCTTAATTTGCACTTCCTGTTTCATTGTGAAGCTGATAAAAATGATGTCAGGCAGTAAATGACAGTAAAAAGAATTAAGATTCAGAATGAAGCAGTTGTGGCTTATTTTAAACCCCAGCTCCTTGTCATGAAGTAGAATATTGTAAATTCAAATCGATGCTGTCACCGCTCATGGAATGTTCTTTGTGTTTTGGAACAGTTGACATCATTTTGTTTTTGTTCACTACTATTTCACTGAACACACTGCATTGTCTTGTTGCACTTATCTCTGCCAGCACTGCCCTGTTTCACCACACAAAAATGTTGCTCACTGCTTCTTGCTCAAACATCGAACTTACATATCCCATACACTTTCATTCAGGTACAGTCATTCTGAAACCTGGCTGGCAATGCAGGCCCTGTGCTTCAGGAACAGTCTAGAAACTGACTTTTGGGGGGGTTGAGAGGGTTGGGCATGCCACTGATATGTGGTCCATCTCTCCCCTTACACTTTGTTTACACTGCAGTATTATTAAATTGTGGAATTTAGAGGAATGTAGATAGGTGGTCTGCAGACATCGGTGTAGTACATTTAAATCCCCCAACAAATAGTCACAGTATAGCCTAACATTGTCATATGGAGTCAGAAAAATCTTGACTGCTCTCAGACTTAGGAATTAGGAAAGTCTCAAGGCAAAGTTTATGACCTCCAAACAACAGCTGAGGTTATAAATGTACCAGCTATCATGCAGTTGGCCTTGCAGCAAGTGACGAGACTGCTAGTGAGTGAAGATCCATTTATGATTCAGATATTTGTCAGTAAGTTCACTTTATACACGGTTGAGCAGATATGTTTTGAGACCTTAAAAAATTATTTTAATAGCTGCAGATATTAGCAATGCCAAAGTAATCTCCCTTCAATTCCTTACAGTGTTCCCAGTGTCTTGTCCGTTGTTCAAAATAGTTTTTAAAATCCTGAACAGGAATGTCTTATCAACATTTTTTCACAGATGATTTGATGTCAGTGTCTGTGAAACACTTTCCTTTCAGCACACTTTTTGAGTTTTGGAAACAGCCGCAAGTCAGGAGAGTACAGTAGATGATCCATGGCAGAGATGGCTATTCCCACTAAAAACTGCAACAATTGAAGCGAGAATGTACCGGCACATCATGATGAATATATGGGTGATCTAGCCACAGCTCTCTTTGCTTCTGTCTTATGGCATCAATTAACCTTTTCACCATCACCACAAAAGAATGCCTGATTCACAGCGGCACCTTTGGGTACAGACAGAAAGTGATGATACACATGTCAAAAAAGCAGATCAGCATTGTTTTGATCTTGGTCATCTGTGGCTTCTGTGGCCTGGAGATTCACCGTAAACTGTTTTCAGCATCTCTAATGTTCCACTTGATGATTTCTACAGTTTAACTGAAAAATTCACAGTCACTCTCTGTTCCATAATGTACTCCATTTTCATGTCCTTACAAATTTGACAACACACATTGATCTTACAAACTACTGTTCATGCAGCTTATCCTAGACTTTCCATGTGAGCTCTGTCTTGTATCACCAAACATTCCAAATAACAGCATTGCCAGATCACCCGGTGCAAAATTAAAAATGTGTCTCAAAAGTTATTTGCCTGACCTTGTATACCATTACGTTTCAACAGCTGTTATTTAACATTCAAACATATTTCACAATGATTAAAAAATTCTGTATTCTTTTGAACTTAATTGCAATGTTTTCTATAAAAGCATTGTGGGTTTATTATCTTGGTATGTAATGTAGCGCCTTTTAGTTCTGTGTTTCCATGCTAAAAATTTTGCACATTTAATGCGGGGAATATGATAGCTTTAATCCGCTTTACTGACAATCCATTCATGATAGACATTTCATTGTGGTGCTGTTGACTTCTCTGCTGTATAAGAGCTACATTATATTGTTGAAAATATATGTAACCATTCTTTTTTTCAGTTCAGTGTTCACAGCTCTAAGTTCACTGGCATAAAATAATTTAAAGGCCTGTGATTTGTTGATCATATAAGGAGCCATAATGAAGTTTTCTTACTGTGTAAAAGAGCCACATAACTACCAGATGACCTGCTTTTGCCCACTTCAGGCACATCGTTTGCTCGATGTAGGTGTATCTTGAAATGAAATTTGAAATTTGCATGCATATGAGGTGCTATTGGTAGTTAGTTATTAGAGAGGGTGAGTTTCCCCATGCACTTAGACCTGTAGTGGTCCATTGTGCTTCCCTCTATGATTTCTACCAGCCTCTATATCCTACCGGTATTGGTGCGTACCATCAGTCCCAACTGAGCCAGCGAGTTCGGCCTCTTCTGGCTTGGCAGTCTCTATAATGCTTCCCCCATCTATTAGAGGCGTTAGAGACTACTGTTGGGTGGGAAATGTCCTTGAATTTAGCTCAGTGACCTCCTTTGGAGATATGAGGTTCTTTTACGTGCTGTAAAGCTACGACACGGGACCCACAGCTTAAAGTCCCTCCCGGAGGACTTGTTCCCTGAATTTTTCCACCCTTAAAAATTTGACGACCTCCGCCGGGTATTTGAACCAACGTACTACGAGTCATGAGGTGGGAACGTTACCTCTAGACTACGGAGGCCGCTAGGTGCTATCGGTAAGTTTCCCAGGCCAGATCAAAACAGAAATGCTGGCTTAACTTACTCAATTTTGGCTGCAGTCTCCTTCAAATTATGCTAATTTAGAATGTATACAATGGTCCCACTGTTTCTTCCATGCTTCAAATGCACTGTGGAAGTAATTTTCCTTAATGCTGTCGAGTACTACTTGCGATTGCCTTTGGATGTCAGACACTCTTTCAAAACTTTGTCCTTTCAGTTTAATTTTCAATTTGGGAAACAAAGTGAAATCACAAGGGGCTAAGTCTAGCAAGTAGAGAGGATGGGGAACAATAACTGTGTTGTTAGTCATAAACTCTGGAGTTTTCAGGGACATGTGGGCGCGTGCATTGTCATGATGAAGCCATTTCTGGTCACACCAAAGTTCCGGTCTTTTCCATCACATTTTCTCTCAAACATCTCAAATAGTCAGAATTGACCACAGTGTTAGGAGGAACAAATTCACGGTGAACAGTCTAAAATTTTTTAACATTCTCTGTCATTTTGCTGGTGCTTGGTCGCCCAGAACATTTGCCATCTTCAACTGACACTTGACCGGCCTTGAAACGTGAATACCATTTAAAAACTGCTGTCTGGCTTAAAGAATGTTCTCAAGAAGCATTTCAAGGCTTTTGGTAGCGGATTTGTCGAGCTTCACGCAAAACTTGATGCAGACACATTGCTTGATTTTGCCATCCATCACAGTCAAAACAAACATGAAGTCAAAAAAAACAGTGTTTGTTCAGGGAACAGTGTCACATGGCAGACTGTTGCAGTAGACTTGTGGAAGTGTGACCTTGGCCTCCCCTCTCATCATCTTTCACCAAGGCAGTTACAACAGTAATAGTCCAGGAACTTTCCGATACTGATTTCTTTCTTTTGATGAAGTCCTTGTAATTAGCATATGTAATTTCAGTAGCTTGATCCTGAATGAAAGATATTTGTGGATGTAGCATATGATTGAAAGTTGAGTTCTTGTATACAAAATTTGTGTACTTGAATATGTTATTTATGAGAAAAATGGGACTCAAGAAACAGTAATAACATTTGAATTTTGTTATGTAAA